ATATATATATATATATATATATATATATATATATATATATATATGTATATATATATAACATATAAAACTATATATTATAGTTGTTGCTGTAACGTCATATTATCTTTGTATGATATCAGTTTTCGTCTAATCAATGTATACATGAAACCATCGTTACTACCAGAATTAAATCGTTAATGCTACCAACTAACCGAGAGCGGTCGCTGCTGTTGCTCCAGTTGGTTTCGCTTCCTGCTTTATGTGCTGTTTCGTAGAAGAAGCCGACCGTGGATAATCCATCAGTGATATTTAACAAATAGTGGTATCGTTGGATAGTTTTGATAGTCTACTGATAGCTGTTCGCAAGTTAACGAGTGATGATAAAAATAATGGTAATAGGAGAAATTTTCTTCCTTCACTTTTGATCAAATGGTTCAAAAGGGAGCTCAACTCTAGATTACTTCAAGCCTAAGCCTAAGCACTGGAAATGTTACTGCTAGAGCGATTGCCCACCTACCGTACTTCCTCCTCAGGCGCTTCCATAGCAACACTCCATTGCTTGATTTGATGCACATACATACGTATGTATATACATACATACATACATATATACATACATGCATATGCATACACACATACACACACACACACACACACACACACACATCCGTTACAAACACATGGAGGAAAATTTCACTCACTCAAATTTATTCATCCAGCAGATGTTTTTTGCCTTCCCTTCAGCATTCATATGTCTTTTTAATTTAAACTTCTTATTTCTTACTGTCGCACACTGCCACATTAAGTTCGGTTTCTGAAAGTGCAGTCGATTCTTGATATTCAGCTGACATATATGAAGTATATCGAATCCAGCTGAATATATAAAAGATTTCATTTTATTCAAATATGACTTCATGTCTTTTATCACGTTCACAGTCAAACTTTCCGGAAGATCTGTTGGGACACTCAATTCAACAAAAAATGGTTTCCATTGTAGCCAACAGATAAGCACTTTGTTTCTTCTTCTCAGAATATGAAGCTAACTCTAAATACAGAAGGATTTATCACTAATTTACCGGCTTCAGTGTTTTTGTTGATACATCAAAATCAGAATAAATCCACCCCATTTCATTTCCAACAGGACCTTGTCATATTTAACGATAACGTAAGTTTAAGTATCAATTTTCTCATTGATCAGAAGGAATCAAAAGATAGAACCAAAAGTATGGTTCGGCATGATGATGTGTGACTAACAAACGCCAATATCTCAAAACAAACATATTCAGATGCAGTGATATGAATTTTTTAATCCCCTCGGCTTGTTAGTTATTCGAAGCATTTTGGTGCGTGCTTTATTCATAAGGATTACACACATCTCTGCATTTAATCCAGTTACTTCAATTCAACTCTATAAACTCCACACAGTTGCAGAATATAGAATTCTCGACATCATAGGAGACTATTCAATATACAATTTTTCTGAGAAATCTGAATGGAAAACAGGTACGAGTGTATTGATGCAGCATGGAACTCTATCGCATTCAGTAAAAAAGCGCAAGCACTTTTTAGTCATAAATTTTAAATACAGTTATTGCACAACACTGTCAACAATCAGTTGTAATAATCAGAGATCTCGACCATATGCAAATTTATTGCAATTTATTTCCCGAAACATCTGTAATTAAAAAATTAAAAAAGAACTTTTACACCCAGAAAAAAACACTGCAAATTTGATTCGTTTTTAATCTCAAAAATGTGCTTTTGTGCCTTTATAAATCGAAATTTACGTAAAAATACTGAAGTTTATAGCATTCGGGTAAAGAAGTATTACACTTCCTAACAAATTCTATAACAAGAATTGAAAATCGGACTACGGCAAATAAACATATTATTGACGATAAAGCGCAAAAAAGATATAACGATGAATTCAATTAAATCACCGCGTTTCAATCAGAGACGAGTCATAATACAAATGAAAGAAACTAAGTGACAACCCATTTTGCCGGATGAAATACACACCTGCACTTATAACGATGATAACTTGAGCAAAAACCAGACGTCAACATAACGGTTATATAATGTTCGTAGGAAGAAATAAATTAGTGCTACTTACAATAATCAGTTAAAGGAAAAAAAAGATTCAAAAAAGCACAGAATACAGTTATCCAGAAATGCAACAAATACCCTTTGAATTAAGAAACCAAACTTGAGTCTATAGCAATTTCTGACATTTAATTTTTTTTTCGGTAACGTTACCAGTTGTTCACTTGTCAGTATTACATCGAACTCATAATTACCATGATGTGTTGGTCACTATTCTACAATCTCTCTAAAAAGCAAAACCTAATTCCAAAACGCAGGAGACGTTTCACTGGTACCAAATGTCTCTTTGACTCGGTCTAAACAAATTTCAGCAACTTCATAATATTCACAGGAAACAAGTGCAAAATTGAGAAAACCAAGTAGGAAATTGTCAAGCCATACCCTTGGCCACCAGCATCCCGCATATCATCCAAAAGTGGATCCAGATGGCAAGTCTGAATTAGATCTGTAGATCAAGTACATGTGAAAGTATTCTAAAAATATTTTGAAAACCCTTCCATTCCACTGCAAAAAGGACACTTCAAAACGTACTACAACCAAACTGAGAGCAGCCATATGAGATCCTCTGGTGACACATATATTGGAGATATGAGTGGATCCCTCGGAACCTTTTTTTCTACTACATCAGCAATATATGATTTATTACAGTTATTTTCAGCCTCTTGGAATGATTTTACTTCTAAATTTATCACGCTTCTCTTGGAAATACAGTTTTAATCACAGCTAAATCTGCAAAAGCACACAATAAGCAAACTTATCTTCTTATCCATTTTTGATGTCATAATAGATGTTAAGAAAGTAACTCAATCAAGTTTAGGTTTTTCTAATGAGGTGTCAGTGCTGATGCTTCGAGCTAATCAGAAATATTATCTAAAGCATGACCAGCCGCCACAGCGGCTGCGTCGGCAAGACTCTGACTCAGAGTTCGTTTATGTGCCTAGAAACTTTTAACGGAATATTTCAAAAAGAAGTAAACCTCAGAAAAGATTCCATTAGATTGAACGTAAAAGTTGTTTTAAATTTTAAGCCAGTTACTTAGAAGTGTCTCCCTTACTAACCAAAAAAAAAAAAAACTAAAAGAATACCAAAGACTCATTTTTGGTATGATGCCGCGGGAACTCAATGAAGTAAGCATAAATCGGGATTGCATGGAACTTCTGATTGGTGTAACTGTTTGCAGGGGTGACTCTTTCGCAATTATTGTCAACGGTGAACACAATAAAGCTGCAAACTTTGAAACATAGAAAAGCCGTTTATTTCCTTTCATATTCATCACTTCTTTGTTTTCCCGAGGCTGTATATAACCAGTATGATACACGGGAATCTAAGTGCTAAATGATCAATGTTTTGTAAAGCAGTTTTCAACAATAATCGAAATAGAAAAAATTTCGTTTTGAGAGTTGAAGTTTTAAAAAGTTATTGTCTGAAAGAATCACAAAACCCAAATTAAACAGAGGATGTTTCCTACTTATTTTCTGAGCGGAAATATAACATAACAAAGTTCAAGAACATGTGTACTCTTTGGTGAGTAAATGAACTTTTAGCTTACTAGTCGTCGACCATATATATTGGACGGAAGATGAATGTGAAAAGGGTCTGACCTTATCTGTAATTCGTAAGGTTACCAGAAGAAATTTAGATTAAGAAACCCAGTTTATATGATTTTTTCATAACTCATAATCAGCTAACAGTGATGCAACTAAAAGTTGCGGGATATCTCGAAAGAATGCCGGGTTCGCAATCATTCCAAATAATTCAGTCAATAGTTAACTTGTTAGAAGATCAGCTACCGCTAGCCGACATACGTACAGTTATAACTCTTCAGTTTATCTGAAATTTTGAGAATATTTCCCAGTCTACAAAATTTTGTCCCACAATAAAATGCAGAGGCCAATTTCTCGGGTTTTACTGCACAATGAGAAATACAGCATCTGGACTACCGAAAGACAGGTGTCATCTCCATCCTCAGCCCCCTCGCTAACATTGGTAACATCGTTAAATCCCTGTTCATTTCCGACTTTTGAGATTGCTAACATATCATGTATCTCTGTTATGGAAGCGATATCAGATAAATTCGAAGCGATAAATTCACCAAAGAGATGATCAATGAAGAGTCCTACAATGTTATTTAAGATGCCGTTAACTCAAGCCTTTAAATATAATAAAAATGTAAGTACAATTTGAAAAATACTGAAGAGTTTAAAGGGAAAACTATTTGAAAATATTCAAGAGCTTAAAAAACGGTATTAAAAGAAATCACCTCTAAACCTACTGTATCGCTTTCTTGCGTTTTTTATACTTACTTCACATATTCTTGTAAGCTTTTGTGGCCACCTCTGTCACCATCTCTCTCTTCAGATCTGTCATCACTAGCTGTGTGATTTATCGGTTTTCCAGTATAATTAAAGGCAACAGATAGGTTACATTTTGGAACTCTCGAGAATGTCACCGACTTGAAATTGAATTTCTCACTTGAGTTTGGCACATTCTATCATTTTTCTGGTTTCAAAAAATGTCGAAGACTAACTCGAAGATAAACTTTAGCAAAAAATGAATAGGTGAAAATCCACTGTTAAAGCATATTGATTTCAACATGAGACCCTCCCACCCGTCCAACCTATAAAACAATTCTGTGTAAAATCTGTAATTAAGTTTGAAAATCAACTGCGAAAATCCGCAAGCACAAGATACAAGCCGAGTCGTGTTGCATTATTGATAATATATGCATACGCATACAATACGTCTTCTGTAGGACGAGGGAATGGATTTCCTGGTGCCAGTGAATATTCGACAGATACGACAGAACAATTGAGTAATTTAGCCCATGCTCGCAAATAAGTCTGGAAATAATATATGCGGAAATTAGTTTTACACAAAAGCATTAGAATGTCTGTAGTAAGGAAATTCAATGACTTCATGAGACTTGGAAGGAATTGCAACATAACTACCACCATAACAATGAAGTAATAAATACGGCGATGGTGGAAGTTGACTCGGCTATCCAGCAGGGCTCTGAAAATGAAACTATATAAGTTAAGAGCCATAGTTTGATTTTCTTCAACTTCCTTAAAGAAAAACTCAATTCCAGATAAAATATGACTTTTGGCCGGTCGAGGCTCAATATAAGACGATTCTGGAATTTTTACGGTACCACCATTTGTCGTCCCCACTGTTACTGACCCTACCCATCTGATTTCACGCAACTCGTTTATTGTCATATTCAGACAAAATATTAGAGGAACTTGCTACAATAATCTCAGTCAAAATAGAGAAGGGAGGCGCTAAATTATTATCAAAAGGGGGACGGAGAAATTGTCCTCTTCCATGAAATAAAAGTGAAAAGTCACACAGCCAAATTGTGACAAATTCCAGAAACCTCTACAAAATTCAATGTCAGTTTCACGAGTTACCTGAAAAAATATCTCCGGTCACGCACCGAATACATTGTAAGACTTGAAAATCGGATGAAAAAGTAAAGCAACAGAACAAATAACTAATGAATGTTAATGGTAAAACCTTAACAATTAGCCTAGTTCTTTGTTCGGGACTTCGAATGAACCACGGTGAATTCAGCAAAGATCCCAAAGTATTGCGTCCCTTTTTCCATGACAAACTGTAGATAGCAAGTATTACACAAATCAAGCGAAATATACGCCCGACTGACGGTGGAAACTGTAAATGGAAACTCTACGATAAGGATCAAATATTTAAGAAATGTGTAGAATCGCATAGAATAGCAACTCTGAGTTTTTTGCAACGTAAGACTATACTTTTCTATACTTCAAAATTCACAAATCCAATCGATAAGAAAAAAACTGCAAGCACTCACTTGGAAGCCCAGCGAACTTCCGTAAAAACATGATGGATCAAGCACTTCTATACCGCCTAGCATTACCTGATACTTACTGTAGTCTCCAGTGTCTCCAGTGAAATCAGGAAACAAACAGTTATCGGGGACGTCTACAGCTGCATCAGTGACCTACAGAGAGAATTACATAAGATTTGAAAAACCTAAACAAGTATATCAGAATCCCAACAATCCAAACAATAATCGAAACAACAATTTAAGAAAAAAAATTAATCCCAATAATCGATATTGAAATTACTAACAAATAGAAATAGTAAGTGAGATTATTAAGGAAACAGCGACAAATGCAATAATTTGAAGGAAACACACTGAATGGTCTGAAACGAGAAAATTCAGGACAACATATGAAGTTCACCGGTTAATTTCCATAAAAAAAAAGCATGCGCAGAAAAGTTGCAAATGTTCAGTGAAACAAACCGAAATCCATTTCCTGGAATAAACTTGTCACAATCATATCGACGAGCCATGTCCTGCAGCTTTTTGACAACGCCTACAAACTACAGAACTTCTAGACTTTATAGATAAAGTTATGAAGAAAGCACATGTGGGAGTGCATAACTATCCACTAAAAAAAAGACCTTTCCAAAGGCAGGGCGAGAGATGAAATTGTGTGGCAATTTTTCTCTAATCGATTTGCATATGTTGTGCAGCTTATGGTATTTTGGAAAAATCCTCTGTTATTATCAGACAACTAAAATAAATTTCGATATTCTGGAAAAGGCAGCGCATGACTTGAAACAAAGCATCAACAGGCAAACAATTCAATACTCTAAGTTTCACATAGTTCGCGAAACTTTGGATGGCTCGCTTCTCCCTGAAAATCAGGGAAAAAAAAGAATTTTCTTATAGTAAACATCATCATATCACTGTTACATTAAATATCAGTATTTTCCATTTTTTTTTTCACCTCAACCAAAAACGCGAAAACAGCTGACCGCTGAACGGAAATCTTGCCACTTAGGGGGACTTTACTAACACGTCCCTGCGTCATTGAGGTGGCTATCAACCACATTACTTTTTAGAGGAGAAACTTAATTTTCAAATAGAATAAATTTCATACCCATATCGTTGCTTACTGTGCTTGTTAGTGAGGTGTATTCATGTTATGTTGTTCATTTAGGCATAATGAGCCGCACATGATGAAGTTTTCAGTTCTCTAGTTTTCAGTCCCTTCGTGCTATCTTTCAGTTATCTTTGATGCCTCATTTATATCCCAAAATTTCAACTGATCAACGAGTTTTCGGGATGATCAACTGGTGCTGTTGTAAATATGCTAATTATAATGAACTAGCCAATTTAAGCCGTTAACGATTGAAATTTTTAACTAAACGACGCAAAAAATATATCACAACAAGGGATCAACATAGGACTAATTATTTATAGAGCATCCTCTTGAAATGCTACAATGAAATTTACAATGAGGAACTTTTGTTTGTAGCCTAAATACGTGATCTTTCAGTAAGCGTGCGAGTAACTGTGAATCAAATGAGATTACTTACCCCACAGCAACATCTTATAAACCCCGCTCCTCATATCATCTTGCCTTCATAATTAAACGATCATTCCTCCATCTTTGGATATAGGAAAGGGATATGAAAGTAGGGTGACAGATTATGTTACGGATGTTTCCTTGACTTTGGTCATTATTTTTACATAAAAACATAGTAAAGCGTCTTTAATTCGTAGTATTAGGCGTACTACTCGTCTAATTCTAGCACATCAAAGCTCCCGCAAAGTGTGCTAACTTCTTCTCCTTCTCAATGGAAACTTTACGCCTTGCTTAGCTCCATGGCCCACTTGCGCAGACACCGGCCAACCGCGAAGCACGCTGAACTGCCATGATCGTACGATGAACTGAGGTGCTTGGTTGAAGGAAGTGCATCAGAAGTTCTATCGATCGGGGTAGCAATCGTGGCAGTTGAACATTGAACTTATTGCTTTCGTTGGGAACGTTGACTTCCCAATATTAATTTCGTTTCTAGTTCGGAAATGAAATAGAAGGCTTAAAAGCAGGTCGAAGTTCTGATACATATGTAATTTGGGATGTTCCCAAAGTTTTCTACTCACAATTTATTTCGATATTTCCCGAAAGGATTTCAGGTAACATCGAGAACAGTAATATATTAATGCGTGATATATAATAAGGATGTGTTGGTGTCAACTTGAAAAAAATTACTGATCTATTCACATAAAGTTTGGTCGGAACAGAGAAAGTGACATTGGTTTTGTGGAAAGAAGGGCATGAAAGAAAATGAGGAATAGTTGTAGAACTTGTACGTTGTGTGCCTTTCAATGGAAATCCTTGCCTGTAAAGGAATATCTGTAATGTAGGATATAATCTAATTGTAGGCATCTACATTCGCAAAATGCTTTACGCGAATTCCTTGTATTCTTATCCAGTTGTCCGTCAGTTGAAATCTGTTTTAGTTGAAAAATCGTGAGAAAACTTACTGTGCTACAAGGAATCAAAGGTGGAGTGATGCAGCAGTTCTGATGGGTA